CTAGCTACACGTGCCAATGTCAACTTGAGATGTGGCTAGTGCAACTAAGGAACAGACTTTTTCACTTTAAATTTAAGTTGCTACATGTGGCTAGTAGCTACAGGACTGGACAATGCCAACCTAGACGGTGCCGTCATTCTTGTTCCTGTTGTTAGTCAACATCCAGAGTACAGTCTTGATAGAAATCCAGCTTTCCCTATGTAGGCAATTTTTCCAGCACCATCTCCCTGGCTTCTGGAGTAGGGAAATCACTGTCTGCCCCTGACACAGCCAGGCCAATGCTCTGAAGAACATACAGTCGTGCACCACATAACAACATTTCAGTCAACGACAGACCACGTATATGACGGTGCTCCCAGAAGATGAGTCCCACACAGCCTAGGTGTGTAGTAGGCTGTACCAGCCAGGTCTGTGTAAGTACTATGGGGAGGAGGAGCTTTTCCCCCACCCTTTTAGGTTCTTCTGTCTGGTCTAAGAATTAAATTGACATGAGACAGATTAACAGGAATAAAACAAACAAGAGTTTACTAACATGTATACATGGGAGAAACCCAGGAAAACTGAATAACTTGCCAAAACAGCCAAAGCCACCACCTTAAATACCATCCTCTGCTAAAGACAAAAGAAGATGGGGGTGGGGAGAGTCAGGGACTTCAAAGGGAAGGAAGGCAATTCACAGGTAGGTGAAAAGGAGCAAACGACTGGAAAACAAGTGTGTGTTTGGCCACAAATAAACGGAAGAACAGAGAAGGGAGCCCAACAGGCTTTTCTGGGTTCCTCCCTGTCCACCATTTAGTTCATGTTATGCTAAGGTGACAGCTTGCTTCCTGAGACACGTTTTTTTAATCTGAATTCTTTTAGGCAATTAAGGGGGTGGTAACAAGAAAAACTTCTGAGTCTTTTATTTCTTAAAAATAATCAGCCTAAAATAATCCTCATGTTAGAGAGACACATTTTGGCGTGGCAAATTTTGTTCCCCTTCAGTCCACTCTATGATGTTCGCACAACCACGAAATCACCTAACAACGCATGTCACAACATATCCCGTCATTAAGCAACGCACGACTGCACTATCCTCTGGTTTGGCTTCTGATATGCTGTGTGTTCCATTTCTGCATTCCTCTTTCATTTTTGCACCACCTCAGTCTTCCCCAAAATCCAGAACGGGCTGCTGGCCTTCTGTGAAAGGCATCTAACAGTACAAGGGACAAACTGTTCAGAAAAGGTGGAACTGGAGAAAGGGAAAACTATCTCATTCATTTATTTGTTTGCTTTCTAATTAACTCTCTCCCAGGTAGAACATACTATCCATGAGAACAGGACCCTTTTCTGTCTCTACCACTGCATCCCCAGCACCTGGAACAAAGACACATGCAAAGCAGCTGTTAAATATTTCACAAATCAATGAACCGTAACAACAAGAACACCTGAGATAGTGCTCACATGACAGGCACCATCGTGCTTTAAATATAAGACCTATTTAAACCTCACTAAAACCCTATGAGGTATGCACTGTTAACTCCACTATAAGGTATGTTTCATTATCCCCATTATTACAAATGAGGACATTGAGGCCCAAGGAGTTAGGTAAGATGCCCAAGATCACAAAGGTGGTAAGTGACAAAACTATCATCTGAATCCCACCACATATGGAGCGTCTTCTCTTTCTTAAGCTGTGCTAAGACATGAATAAGTTATCTAAGGCTTTTAAGATCCAAGCTTACTCTGGTAGCATATCTTTTTAATAATCTTCTATTGATTATGACAGTACTGAACCTATAGTATATTGAAAAAATATTTATGTTGAAATAGTATTTTGGATATATTGGGTAAACCAAAACATACTATTGAAATTTATTTCAACCTGTTTCTTTTTACTTTTTTTAACGTGGCCTCTAGAAAATTTTAAATTTTAAATTACATACGTGGCTGACTTTATATTTCTGTTGGATAGCACTGAGCTATAGACTATCTCTACTAAGGCTGTCCCTTCGAATACAGCATGCTTTAAACTGGATCCACCACTAAGAAGCTTTATGCCGTCGCTGTGCCTCACTTTCTTCTTTTATAAAACGGAGATACTACTTCTAATAAAGAAGATAATGTAACAATAAGAGCTAATACACAACACTTACTGGATGCCAGACACTGTTCTAAGCATTTTTCATAGCTTAACTCCCTTAATCTTGACAATATCCCTGTGAGGCCACCATTCCCATTTTATAGATGAGCAAACTGTGGCACAGAGAAACTGAGTGAGTACCTAGCCAAAGGTTACATGGTTAGCAAACAGTGGAGCCCAGATTCGAGCCCAGGCAGTCAGCTCTGCGTCTTTGCTTCAAACCACTGTCTCTCGTGACACCTACCTAAGAAATGTTGCAAAGATTCAGTAAGTTAATTTAGGTAAAACATTTCAGATGTACCTGGCACAAGGTAAACTCTCTCCAGTGTGTAACTACTATCCCCCTCACCCCAGCCCCTAACCTACTTCCTAATCTCCTTGCTCGTCACAACCTTTCTCCCATTTCCCAGGCCCGAAGTCTCAGGAGCACCTTTCAACACGCCTCCCTCTTTCATGCCCTGAGTCACATCCTCCTCACTCTTCCTTGAGTGTTTTTAATGCATCTATTCCTCTACTCCCACCACCACCTTAGTCTGGCCCTTCTCCCCTCACCCTGGATGAATAAATAATGACAAGAACACCTTAACTAGTGCTCATGCTCCAGGCATGCTTCAAATCTATTAACTCATTTAAACCCCACTGTAACCCTCTGTTCTCCAGGGCTTCACATCTGGGCTCTAACAGAGTCTAAGCTCTTCGGCAGACTAGTCCTCCTGGAATACCAATTTTGTCATGTGCCTATTAGTTAAATATGTGAGAGGGAAATATGGTGGGCGTTCCCTATTGGGGTGCAGAAAGACTGAGAGGGCCCAGAAAATTAAGAATTTTAGCCTCATGAAAAATCTCCCACAGAATCAAGCCTTAACACAGCAGCCAAACATTAACAACTACGTAACCTAGCCCCATCTTATCTATTCAATGTTATCCCACTCTTCAACAAAAACTCTCCAGAGTAGTTAAACAGGGCTCTTCATTGTTCCTGGAAGAAAAATTAACAATATTAAGTCTTATTCCCAGGCTTTTATCACAGTTCCTCTCTTCCTCAGAAATCTGAGCACATTTCTTCCCCGAAAACCCCCCCAAAACACCCAAGCTAAGATAATCTCTCCTCCAAATTGTGATAAAACTTGTATCTCACACCCATACATACCAACCAGTCTGTGGTCTGCAATGATACACTCATCCCCTGGTAATGCCACTGACAATCCCCACCAGGCCATGGGCACCAGAAAGCAAGCACGGAGGCCCTCATTCTTCATCTTTTCCACGTGGAGCACAGTTCTCTACAGAGAATATGCACTTATTTGGCAAATGGAATAGTAAATGAATGAGCTAGGGATGGTGGAACAAATTATCTGTAAATACCCTAATTTGGTCAACCTCATTTCCCTAACCAGGAAATACTCAAGGTTACAGGAGCAATATCAAACGTTTCATGGCAGTGGTTTCAGTGCACTTTCAAATCCACTATCTTCTTTATCCCTCAAAACAGCCCCGTGAAGTACACACTACACGCTTCTTAAGTCAACGGAGGTTTAAAAAAGAGCACACAGCTGGTCAACGGCAGGGCGGAACCGAGGCCAGGCCAGCAGTCCAGTGATCCTTCAATGCTGTACTTCGCCTCTCATCTCCCTTCCCTCCTTATCATCTGAGGAAGAGTCAAATAACGAGGAGGAGACAGGAATCAGGTGAAAGTCCTTGATGACAACAGCTATGTAAATTAATGACCGCAAATGAACATCTGCCTGAAAGAGCTTCATCTTTCCTTGACTCAACAAGGGTAATGACGCATTGAAACCTCCTAATTTTGTTGTACCGTGAAATAAAAATTTCTATCTAAACCTAAAACCAGTGCTTTTCCAGACGCCTAAGTTGGACACCACGCCCCCACCCCACCCCGCTCTGCACTTACACTCTTAGCTCGAGTCTGTTTCTTACGCAAGAATAATTAGGGAAGGAAGCAAGCTGATGAGGACAAACCCCTCGACCATCAGAGCCAACTGGCAGTCGTTGCTAAACGTTATAAACCATTAGTCTTCCCACACCTTACTGACTCCACGAATCGAGTCTGTAAAACCCCATGTTATTTGCCGGATATTCCAATTCAACACCGAGCCACAAAGAACCTCAGTTCAGGGCAGCCTCAGCTCATGAATGGCCACATTGTTGGGGACTCTCCCTCCACACTGGAACTCAGAGATGGCAAGACAAGGAGATGGACTAACTGCACTGGCAGAGCCTGGAAAAACCAGGAGCGCGCGGCCGGCGCCGCCCCCGCTCCTCCGCAGACCTCGAGGCCCTCCCGAGGATGCGGGCGGCGCCCGGTCGGGGTGCGGGTTCCAGCCGCCGCCAGCCCATCCAGAGATGCTCCCCGAGGTCTCCTCGCAGCCGCGGGGCTGGGGAAGGGGCGCGCTGCCCACCAGAGCGAGTCGGCCCGCCAGCAGCGCGCCGCCCGAACCCCCACCCCCGCGCCGCCCCGCGCGCCCCGCGCCCCGCGCCAGCCGGCGGCCTCGGGTACCGCCCCCGCACCGGGAGGATGCACGGGAGGCGGCGGAGACGCGGCGGCCGCGGAGCGGGCTCAGACCGAGCCCCCGGAGGCGCCTCCGCTCCACTCACCCAGCTCTCCGCGTCGTTGCTTAGCTTGACTTTCTTGCACAGGCTCCCGGGCACCTCCATGGCTGCAGCGCCGGCGCCGGGCTCTCAGAACCGGCGGGGCAGAGCTACCAGGACGCCGGCGGGGCAGGGCAGAGCCGGCCGGGCCGGGGGCGGGGCCTTCGCGTCGGGACTGGCGCGCGCTGACGTACGCACGCGCTCGTGCTCGCGGCTCCGACTACGCCGCGTGGCGGCCGCGCCTCCGAAGTGGGTCCGAGGCAGAGGTACGTGGGGCGGGGCGAAGCGAACGCGCCGGACGCTCCGCCCCCCTGGTTCTGAGGAAGGGGCGGGGCCTGGGAAGGCTGTCGTGGAGCGTCCCCGCCTGCAGCCCTGCGCTGCGCATGCGCAGAGACTGGGCTCGCGCCCGGCTGCGTGGCGTTCGGAGGAGCTGCTGACGCGGGGTTTCTTCCGCGTGAGCCCCGCCCTGGCTGCTGTCGCCCCCGCGTCTGTGCCTGTCCCAGCTTGGCCGGCCTCGCAAAGGGAGCCGTTAATGGGTTTACTGAACAGCTCCTTCTCCACTCGTTCCGCTTTGCTTCAAAATCCTGCTCAACGCACGATTTCCTTCAGCAGCCCGCGCCGGACGCCTGGCCGTCGATAACGGACGTCTCGAGGGGCGCGGGTTGCTCCGAGGAGACCGTTCGACGCCCCTCAGCGGCCCCGGTCCCGCCGAGCCGTGCCCGGGTCCCCGCCGTGCGGCCGTCACGCCGGGGCCCACACGCCTGAGACGGAAGCCGCGTCCGGCCGCCCCGCCGCCCGCGGGGGCGCAGCTCTCCCTGGGGACCCATCCGGGGCTGTGTGTGGAGCCCAGTTCTGCCGATGACGGAGGGGCTCGGGTTCCCGGGTCCGGACGCCACATGCCGCCTCCACTGCCGCCGGCGTCTCCGCGAGGCCCGGCCCTCGGAGAGGGAAATGCCATTCGGAGTCGCCGTCGGGCTCTAGGACGCTCACTGCTCGCGAGGCAGCCCCTCTGCCTAGGCTTTTTCGTGGAAAGACTGTTTTTTAAGGCAAATGTAAGTTTCCATTGATACTGTCCATTTAGATCCATGATTCCTGGTGTGGGTCGCACAAATGGGCCTGAAACATCTTGTCAAAGGAGAAACAAGGAGAGTGTCAAAAACTGCTGGGATTACGTCAGAAGGGCTCAGGAGCCAACTGGAAGGAGCCTCCCCGTGTCAGCGAGGGCACAGAGACAATCACTGAAAGACACTGAAACAAATCAAATGTGTTTGAATCTAAGTATTCATAATGGCGACAATTAAAAAGAACTCAGTTGTCCCCTTGGAGGATGCTAATGAGCCGACTCTATTTTGAAAACCGATAAAGAAAGGGGAAGCACTGGGCTTTCACCTCCATCCCCTGCGCCGCTGTATGTCAGGTGATGAACAAGTTGATGACAGGAGGTTGGCCTCTGTGGAAGTACAGCTAGCAAATGAAGAAGGAATGGTAAAATTGTAATGTGACCACTTTACACCTCCTGATGATTTCGTAATGGATGAAAACAATGATCCTCAGTGGCTGTTATCATGAAAATAACGTCAGAACTTTTTTGCCTCTTGATGAAGTATTAATGCAAAAAAAAAAAATCTAATCTGATTCTAATCAAGCATTCAGGTCTAATTGTCCATTTGCAGTTAATGCAGAGGAAAGAGGAAGATGTAAAATTACCACAAATGAAATCAGCCAAATCCAAACTGTGGAAAACTCTACATCATAAGTGACTTGAGGGGGCCGCCCCATGGCACAGCGGTTAAGTGCGCACGTTCTGCTTCGGTGGCCCCGGGGTTTGTAGGTTCGGATCCTGGGTGCGGACGTGGCACAGTTTGGCACACCATGCTATGGTAGGCGTCCCACATATAAAGGAGAGGAAGATGGGCACAGGTGTTAGCTCAGGGCCAGTCTTCCTCAGCAAAAAGAGGAGGATTGGCAGCAGTTAGCTCAGGGCTAATCTTCCTAAAAAAAATAAATAAGTGACTTGATTCTTCCATAATTCCATTACAGGAAAAAAATAAGTGAGGCAGAACTAAAGATTAAAAGAAAATTGAGAGAGGTATCAAGCAGTTAAAATATATGGAACTTATTTGAACAACGATTCAAATAAAAGAATACTTTTTTAAGAATGTATGTGGCAATGGGGAAGTTTAAGGGGTCCTTGTGTTCTTGATAGTAAAGACTTACTTGTTTTGGTGTGATAATAGCATTAGTATTCTATTTTTTAAAGGAGTAATTTTAGGCTACATACTGAAAGATTTATCAATGAAGTAACAATGCCATAAATATTCAGGAAACAAAATAGGGCTCTTGGAAATTAAAAACATGATACCAGGAGTAGAAGAAAAGGTGAAGATACCTCCAAGAATGCAGAGCAAAAATCTGAAAAGATGAGAAAAAGAGGAGAGTTTAAAAAAAGAAAGAACAGTCCAGGAAGTCCAACATCCAAATATTAGGAATTCCAAAGAGAAAACTCTTAGGAGGAAATAACCAGGGAAATGGTTCAACAAAATTTCCTAGAACTGAAGGACTTGAATCCTTCCATGAATGTCTAGCTCAACAGATAAAAGTTGCACACACAAAGCATAGCACTATGAAATTTCAGCACACAGTCCCCCAGTGTTCTGAAATTGTTTGGAAATCCTACAAGCTTCCAAGTAGAAGAAAGAGAATTCACAAAGAAGTAGGAATAAAAATGGATTGAAGTTATCAAGGAAAACACTGAGAGCTAGAAAACAAGTGGAACAGTACCTTCAGAGCTCTGAGAGAAAAGTATGTCCAATCTAGAATGTGGAATCATCAGATACCCTTTCTGAAGGAAATGATGGAGGATATGCTCCACCAAAATGGGAAGAGAAAGACATGGCATGCAGGGTTTTCACACAGGACACAGCAGAAGGAAATTCCCAGATTGATGGTGAAGGGAGATCCCAGGATGACTGCTGCATACCAGGTCTAGAGTATATGAGCCAGAAGACTCTCCAAGTGGTTGGAAGGCCCTTGGGAAGCCTTGTTTAGGAAAATGAGGTTAATAGAGCATCTGATAGGATTGAGTATATTGACTATATTGATTCAGACGACTGACAAAGAGTTTGGGGTTAAATTAGTGATAACTACTTAGAAAACTAAGTCATCAAAAAGGACACATTTATTGTACCCTCTCTGTACAAACTATTTCAGGGCCATCAAATAGTTGATGAGGGAAAGTTCACACTGATAGAATTTTAGCTAATAAATGCAGAAGGAATATTGGCATTTAAAAATAATTTTAAACACCTGATGAGGTAATTAATATAGTCAATAATCGTTAGTGAGTGCTAAAAGTACTAGGTGAAGAGTAGCATGATGGTTGATTTTGTTTATCGACTGGGTCATGGGGTGCCCAGGTGTTTGGTTAAACATTATTCTGGGAGTGTCTGTAAGGATGTTTCTGGGTGAGATTAACATTTGAATCAGCAGACTGAGTAAAGCATATTGCCCTCCCTAGTGTGTATGGGCCTCATCCAATCAGTTGAAGGCCTGAGTAGAAGAAAAAGAGGACTCTTTTGCAGGTAAGAGGGAACTCCTGCCTTACTGCCTTGAGCTGAGACAGTGGTCTTTTCTTGCTTTCAGATTTGAACTGGAACCTTGGCTTTTGGGTCTCAAGCCTACTGGCTTTCAGACTGGAACTTAGACCATCAGCTCTCCTGGTCCTCAAGCCTTTGGACTTGGAATGGAACTACATTCTCAGCTCTCGTGGGTCTCCAGCTTGCTGACTGCAGATCTTGAGACTTCTCAGCCTCCATAATCACGTGAGCCAGTTCCTTATAGTAAATCTCTTTCTATCCATCTATTCTATTGGTTCTGTTTCTCTGGGAAACCCTGACTAACACAGGTAGGAAAAGGACTTTTCTAATGGAGGGATCAGGCTCACCTCACCTGTGTCCACTGATCAATCTTAGCATCTTTAAACCTGGGACACCAGATACCAGCTACCATAAAATGGGATATAATAAGAAATACTCAGTACTGATTGTCTTAGTTTGGGTTGTTCAAGAACCAGGCAAGGAAAGAAGGATTCGGGTACAAGTCATTTATTTGGGAGGTGATCCCAGGAAGCACCATTGGTGGAGTGTGAAAACAATGCAGGAACAGGAAGGAAGTCAATAAAGAGCATGTTATCAAGCAGCCATTGTGGGCATCTTGAGCTTAATCCCACAGGGGAACTCTGAGAAACAGTGTTGAACGTGTGCTTCAGAGTATAGTACCTGAGAGGAGAGAGCTGGGGTGTTTATACAGCTCCCTTCCATCATTCTTCAAGGGCTCCTCCCAGGAAGTGTTCATTCCTAGTACTTTTGGATTGCAATGTGCATAGGTAGAGAGGGCACTGGTCCCAAAGGAAGCCCTCATGCAAAGGGATGGAGGTGTTAGGGCCAGCCCTGTTGGCTTAGTGGTTAGGTTCAGCACACTCCATTGTGGTGCCCCAGGTTTGCTTCCTGGGTGCAGACCTACACCACTTGTCTGTCCGTGGCTGTGCTGTGGCTGCAGCTCACATACAAAAAGAGGAAGATTGGCAATGGATGTTAGCTCAGGGCAAATCTTCCTCAGCAAAAAAGAGAGAGAGAGAGATGGGGATATACTCACAGGTAGAAGTCAGAATGGCATGCTCCACAATAATAGGGGCTGAGGGGATATGGATGGAGCACCAGAACTATTTGCTATAACCACTTAGGAAGTATTCTTTAAAAAGAAAAGAAAAAGCATGGGTGTGTTTCTGTACTCTTCTTTTTTACTTAAGGGACTACTTTTTAAGAAGAGAAAAATAATAAAGAACTTCATAAAGAAAACCACACTCACCCACAGAAAAAAAAAAAAGCTATCTCCAAAGTGAAAATATCATGCTGAAAAAGAAGGGTGATAATAGTTTTACTACGTGGCTCAGCTCTAAATCACACATACTTAGTCATAATAGTATAAACAATGAATGCAAACATTAAAGCTGCAATATGATTAGGTGGAGAGGTTGAGGAGATAGAAGGAGTGTGTGTGTGTGAGTGATTCTGTGTGTATCTGAGTGTGATAGTGATAGGAGAGGAAAGAGGGATATATCCTCATTTTCCATAGAGAGAAACCAATAGATACTGCCTAACATATAAAGACCAAGAATAGCAATACACCCATTATTTCAAGATATGGAGATACATACAGAGAGGATTAGCTAAAAGACTTAAGAGTAGTTGCCTACTTTTAAGAGAAGGAAAATTGGGGGAGAAGGGGAAGATGACCAACGATTTCTTTTTTGTCATAAAATTCCTTATAGAATTATTTGACCCTAAGCTATCTGGGTATATAATTTTGGCACACACATGCAAAAAACCTTTTTTTTTTTAAAGAGTGAATTAGAGTCAAATGAAGTGAGCATGTGAGAACAACCCTTAACATGTTTGGCTTAAAAAAGGAGCAAAGTAATGAGACATAGCTGAAGGACAACCCAGAATCAGGATGGGATATTTTAAAAAGAAAGGAGAAGCTAGAGCAAACTGGATGATGATAAGGATGATCCGACAGAGAGCAGGAGAGTAGTAGATGGATGGAAGTCCTTGAGGGTTGGAATCCAAAGTACTAGTGAAGATGGGCCTTTGACGGTCACAGGTAATTCCTGCAAAATAAAGTAAAAGAGAAGATGAGCAAGGTGCCAGTCCATTTGAGTAGGTGGTGGGAAGAGGAGGGAGTTTCCCCTGAGGGCGTTTATTTTCCCAGGTAAGTATGAGGCAGAGCCTTTAGTGAGAGGGGACCATGCTTTGAGAACTATGGCTCTAAGTAACGAGTGGGCACTCCTAGATATCTATAACTAAGTAATTAAGCTTAGACACTGAGGTACTCTTCCCTCATAACTTAACCACGTATTCCCAAAGTCATCCAAACTGAGAAGAACAAATTAAATATTTTAAGCTAAACTGAGGAGCTATAAAAATTAGGAAACCCAGAGCAAAGTGTATTTTAACCCTTTGGGGAGACAGATATTCTCAGTAAGATGGTAATGGTTAAGTAAGTATGCTTGGTAACATTGTAAGTCACTGACCTTGGTAATATTGGAGCATGAGTCTCAGAAGGTCGTCAGGATGAACAGAATTAAAAAGATGCCGCACAAGCCAGAGGTAAATGGTCCCCAGAATCTCATCCACCTCCACACTCCCTATTGTTAAACCCCCGCCAGCTGAGAACCTGGGGTGATGACTTGGAAGCAGACAGAGATATTTGATTTCCGTCTGGAAGGAATCACTGCAGGTTCAGGAAAATTCCCTCCTACTCACTTCAAGTCTCTGGGACTTGCCAGGGGTCAGACAATAGAGGAAATTACCCCTCCAGTCAAGGCAGTTCCATTGCTTCACACTTTGCGTATGTGGAGAAGTATGAAGGCATATCTTCTCCACCGGGGGATTTGACTGAGTAGAGAGCAAGATAAGAGAAATGGGGCTGGGAGAAGCCTTAAAACATCACTTAGCAATTTCATCTGAAGCATTTCCATTGTCATTTTTTTCCTTAGAAATAAGCCCCCAGATAGTGAATTTCACAATACCACTTACTAAAAATTGTTGGGGTTTTTTTTTGAGGAAGATTAGCCCTGAGCTAACTGCTGCCAATCCTCTTCTTTTTGCTGAGGAAGACTGGCCCTGAGCTAACATCCATGCCCATCTTCCTCTACTTTATATGTGGGACACCCACCACAGCATGGCTTGTCAAACGGTGCCGTGTCCGCACCCAGGATGCGAACCTGCGAACCCTGGACCGCTGAAGCAAAATGTGTGCACTTAACCTCTGCACCACCGGGCCAGCCCCATAATTGTTGTATTTTTAAATTATGGCTTGTCCATAATTCAAAGGAGATCTTCTTCACAGTAAGTGAAAATAATTTGCTAGAATTCTAGGTTTTCTACTAATTATATGACCTTGGGAAAATCATATAAACCTGAACATAAGAATTTAATCAAAACCACAAATTATCTTTAAACACTGTACTATTTCTATATGTTAAAGTAGCTGAGTAGTAAGTAATGGGAAGCAGCACCAAGCACAGCATATATTCTTTTCCCTGATTCTTTCAGCATAATTATGAGATTCATCCATGTTGTGCATGTGTCAATAGTTCATTCCACTTTATTGATGATTAGTATTCCATTGTATGGTGTTATGATTTTGTTAAATTAGCATTAGTTAAGTGGAGCACAGGGTGCCAGATGGTGAACTGCGGCTCAACAACAGACCAGAAGAGAAACTGAAATAGAGAAGTTTTATTACTCACAGGTCCTGGAGGAGGTATCCAGCATTCCTTGAGGGGCCACATGGGGAGGTCAAGGCAGGGTGCAGGCAGAGAGAAGACTAGACCTCGGGTATGTGATTTATTAGGGTCCACAGGTGGAGTGCTCTGGGGTTCCCAGGCTAAGGCTGGATTGGTCAATTCAAACCAAAAAGAGTGGGGTTTTGGTAAGCTCCATGGGGGTCTTACGTAAGCAACACACAAGGGGAAAGTCTCAGGAGTCAGGGGAGACTGTTGATCACAAGGGCTGTTGGGGAAGTCACATCAGGAACTTACATTTGCTGTGTCAGTTAAAGGTCTCTGCAGGCCACCTGGCCAAACAAAATGGATGCCGAGGCAGCAACACTATGGAGCAGGGTAGCTGAACTCTTGACATATGGATACACCATGATTTGTTTATTCATCCGTCGAAGGCTATTTGGATAATTTCACTTTGGGGCTCTTACAAATAAGGCTCCCCTAAACATTCGTGTACAAGTCTCTGTGTGGACGTGTGCTTTCCTTTCCCCAGCTAAATACCCAGGAGGGAATGGCTGGGCCATTTGGAGGGCAGATGTTTAATTTTTTGAAAAACTGCCCAAACCATTTTCCAAAGTGGTTGTACAATGTTACATTCCTGCCGGCAGTGGATGAGAATTGTCATTCCTCCATCTCCTTGCCACCACGTGGTATGGTTGGTCTTTTTAATTTTAGTCATTGTAGTAGTATGCAATGGTATCTCATTATGTTTGAATTTGCACTCCCCTAGTGACTAATGATGTTAAACATCTTTTCATATGCTTATTTGTTTTTTGCATATCTTCTTTGGTTAAGGGTCTGAACAGATCTTTTGTCTATTTTCTTATTGAGTTGTTTGTTCTCTTCTTACTAAGTTTTGAAAATTCTCTATATCTTCCATCACAAACATTTTATTTTTCATCTCTAGAAGTTCAACGTGGGTCTTTTTTTAAAAAAAAATGTCTTCCATGCCTCCATTTAATGTGAGCAATCTTTCCCCTACCTGTTTGAAAAAGGTAAAATAACTTTTAATGTCCTCAAACTACTAAATCTGTTTTCTGTATTCTTTGTATTGACTCATTTTTCTCATAATGGGTTATATCTTCCTGTCCTGTCTCCTTTTTTCTCCTCCTTATCCAGCTCCTGATATTGTGAATTTTGCCTTATTGAATGCTTAATATTTTTGTATTCCTATAAATATTCTTGAGCTTTATTCTGGGCCACAGTTCAATTACTTGGAAACAGTTTGATCCTTTCAAGGCTTGTTTTTAGCATCATTAGGTCGTACTAGAGCAGCCTTTAGTCTGTGACTAATTGTATCTCACCAGTCAGAATGCCATTTTGAGTACTTTGCCCAATGCCAAGGTTTTCCACATTGGCTACTGAGAACATGATCTATTGTCTGCTGGTGGTGAGTTCCAGGCATATTTTCCTTTGCTCCTTTTGGGTGGTGTTTTTTTCTATCCTATGTCATTTTCCTCACTTGTCTTTGCTCAGCTGGGCTTTCTGCCATCTCTGGAGCTCTCTCCTCTCAAGTACTCTGGGGTCTCTCCCAGACTCCCAGCTCCAATTTCTTAACTCAGGGGGAATGCTGGTCTCTGCCTGGGTTCCCCCTCCCTGCCCTGTAGCCTGGAAACTTTGTCCAGATACTAAGCTAAAGCAATTATAGGGCTTGCCTCATGTATTACCCCATGGCTCAGGGATCACTGTCCTGCCCTACCTGGTATCCAATGTCTGATCTGTTGTTTCATATATTATTTTGTTGGGGGTTTTTGTAGTTATTTCAGGCAGGAGAGTATATCCAATCTCTGACACTTTGCCCAGAAATAGAAGTTGCTTCTTTTTTTGCTGAGGAAGATTCGCCCTGAGCTAACATCTGTGCCAGTCTTCTTCTGTTTTGTATGTCGGTTGCTGCCACAGCATGTCCACCACTGAGTGATGTAGGTCCGTGCCAGGGAACCAAACCAGGCCGCCAAGATGGAGTGCGCCAAACCCAACCACTAGTCCATGGGGCCAGCCCCTAGAAGTTGCTTTTTTATGTGGTTACTTTTAGAGTAATAACTTCTTTTGTTTTTTTGTTTCACCATTTAAATGTACATTCCTGGGCAATATAATTTAATCTTGACAATTTAAAAAGTAAGATATGTCTTTAAAACCATTTTAATCTGTAAATGTACTTCTCCATCCTTTTCATTTCCTTATAGTTCACTAAAGGGGAGTGGGGTGCTGACCTCAGTAAATTTGGAAATGAGTGGAGTCTGTAAAACTAAAGGCAAAAGGAACTACACGTAAGCATTGTAGTCTAGTTGATAAGTCATTCCCCATGAGGATACAGGTTACAGTTCTGATGCTGCTATACATATATAATGGAACTGAACAATTACCTGAATGGGTGGCACAAAGTGGGAGCCAAGATTCTCACTGCTGGAGTGGGATAAGCAAAGGGTGGGGGTTGGGGGGAGGCTAGAATGATCCCTGTGGTAATGGATTAGAATTGGAGACATTAGTAAGAACTCATGTTTAGCTTAATATGGATATAAATGATTACATATAGAAATATTTATAGATATGAGTATATACATAAGTGAAATACACATGTATATTTCTTTACTCTGTCAGCTGAAAGGGCTCAAAAGAAACAACACCTCAGTAGCAATGAGGACACCTAATGCCCAGATCTTGGTTTCCAATACCATTTCCAATAAAAGGAACCAGAGCTTCTTGGAAAAATGGCTGATTCTAAGACTAGCAAAGAAATATACAAGATGAGCCTGGAATGTCTTGGAGTACCAGAAAGCGAGGAAGTACCAAAAAAAACCCCCCAAAAATAACAAAACACCGTATTCATGCAGGTCGGTCAAAGGAGCACAGGAGCCGAATGAAAGAGCTGCCAATGGCCAAAGCTGGAACAATTTGAGCAACAAAATAAAGTCGTATTGGATTATCACAACTGTAAAATAAATATCTATGGGCCCTTATTGATATAAATGAATGATTGAATAAATAAATAAATGGGGAGAAGAGAAAAATCTCCCATGCAGAAGAATTCTAAACAATTTATGCAAATACTTGACTCTCAAGGAGAGGGAGCATAAATCTCCACTCCTTAAATATGGACTGTGCACACTACCTTTCAAGTAGTGCATTTGGAAATGGGGAGAAAAAGAGTTAACTTCATGGTGAAGAAACTTGACAAAACTACTTCATCCAGGTGATCAAGATCCATATCAACAGTGATAAATCATGTTGATAGTATGTAGTTTTGATGTGCCATGATGAAAATGACACTTTACCTTTGTGATCCTCTCCAAAAACCCATAACCCCAGTCAAATCATGAGGAAAACAGACAAATTCCAGTAGAGGAATAAGCTGCAAAATCCCTGACCAGTACTCCTTAAAACTGTCAAGGTCAAGGCTTTCCCCACCCACCCGGAATCCGTGCTCTCTTTCCGGACCTGGCTGAGGAGCAGGCGCCATCATGGGAGTCGACATCCGCCACAACAAGGACCGAAAGGTTCGGCGCAAGGAGCCCAAGAGCCAGGACATCTACCTGAGACTGTTGGTCAAGCTGTACAGGTTTCTGGCCAGACGAACCAACTCCACCTTCAACCAAGTCGTGCTGAAGAGGCTGTTCATGAGTCGCACCAACCAGCCACCTCTGTCCCTTTCCCACATGATCCGGAAGATGAAGCTTCTTGGCCGGGAAAACAAAACAGCTGTGGTTGTAGGGACTATCACCGACGACGTGCAGGTCCAGGAGGTGCCCAAACTGAAGGTGTGTGCCCTGCGTGTGAGCAGTCGTGCCCGGAGCCGCATCCTCAAGGCTGGGGGCAAGATCCTCACCTTCGACCAGTTGGCCCTGGACTGCCCGAAGTGCTGTGGCACCGTCCTGCTCTCTGGTCCTCGAAAGGGCCGAGAGGTGTACAGGCATTTCGGCAAGGCTCCAGGGACCCCGCACAGCCACACCAAACCCTATGTGCATTCCAAGGGCCGCAAGTTCGAGCACGCCTGAGGCCGACGGGCCAGCCGGGGCTACAAAAACTAACCGTGGATTCTACCTTGTTATTAAGAAGATTTTGGACGCTGAAAAAAAAAAAAACTGTCAAGGTCATCAAAAACAAGGAAAGTCTGAGAAACTGTCATAGCCAAGAAGAGCCTAGGGAGACATGACAACTAAATGTAATATGGCAACCTGGATGGGGCCCTGAAACAGAAAAATAAATTAGGTAAAAACTGAGGAAATCTGAATAAACTGTGGATTTTAGTTAATGTATCAGTATTGGTTCATTAAGTGTAACAATGTCCACTACTAATGAAAAATGTTAACAATAGGGAAAACTGAGTATGGGGTATATGGGAACTCTCTGTACCATCTGCTTAATTTTTTTGTAAATAGAAAACTGTTCTAAAAAATAAAAACTATTTAAAAAAAAAAAAAAAGAATCCTGACACTCCAAAGCAAACATGTTTCTCTCTTGTGCTGGATCTACAAATGCTCAGCATCCATGAGCCTGTCCAGACCACAACAGCAGACAAGTACTGTTCACTCCTTGCCTCTCAACTTAATTTCTTCTCCCCCATGAGAATTGCAGCTGTGCCACTAATTGAGTTGATGTTCTGATGTCAATACTCTACCTCTTGTTACTGACATTCTAGACCTGGCTTTTCCGTGAACTTAAACTGAATTTTCTGAGTGCCATTCCCTGCTCCTTAGCACCCTCTCCTAATAAATACCCTAGGGAGTGATTGCATTTTGACTCCACCATAGTGGCCAGCAAACCTTTTTCCAGTGTTCCCTAGAACAGCTCTGCTTTAGTAATTAGCTAAATTTGGCACAACCGTTCCGGTTTCACTGGTGTCCGTGTGAGATCTCCTTTCATCTGTCACCTTCCTTCTATAATTTCCTCGTTATTCCTTTCTGGTAGTCACTGGGGGGAAATAACACGTCCAGAACTAGAATTTTCAGCATACATCTCTGAGATCCTTTATAAAGAAAAGTTCTCACCTATAGCCAGTTTCTTCTGCAGCTATTGATCAAAGAGTTTCCTACAGCAGTTGAAAAAACTGCCTGAACAGTTGGTTTGCCAGCTGCCCCTGTCCTGCCTATGGTTGGGCCCCCTAGGAGGGGTCCCTCCTGTGTTTGCTTGCCTGTGAAGGGACATGTCATAGTGGCACTTCCCCCTGACCAGACAATTCAACAGAGTGTTTTCTTATTCTGAGTAAGAGAGCACCAGCCTCTCCCTGACATCGTGTATTAATTGGACTCTTTCAGGTAGTGCAAAATAGACATGGATGGGCCACCGTTGGACATAGATGGGGTTTTATTCAAAAGATAGGAGGAAAAAGGGAAAGAAGAAGTGTTTTCAGCAGCCACACAACAGCATAGTGAAGAAATAGCACCATAGGGCTCCATAGAATGGAAGCTCATTTATTCTCTGCTTCTGCTGCTGCTGCTCCCGCCTCTAACAACTGACTGACTGATTTCCTCACGCTCAAACTACCCAAGTCATAGGATCCAATTTGGCCTGCCTATCACAATCCATTTAGGCTACCCCTGTTGGTCAAAGCTCTTGTGCCAGCGTATCTTTTAAGTTGCCCACCAGCCTGTAGATAGCTGCCTTTGAGTCAGGTGCCCATCTGGAGTCTAGTCACCTGCAACCAGGAGATGGGGTCGTGTAGTCCAAAGTACAACTAATTCATTAGGAAGCACCTACGTGGGTGTTGTAGGTCAGGAAGAAACTCAGAATCATGTACTCCTCTTTTACATAATAAACCTGTTTTTCCCAAAGTTCCTTCCTTTGGAAACATGGATTCTTTTAATGTTAATGTGTGTTTTGCAAAAAAGGGTCCTATGATAAATCTCATTCAACAAATATTTATAAGGGATTACTAAGTGCCAGACAGTTCTACACACTTAAATGTTTGGGAAATGCCAGGTTAAACAAAGTAAACATTTTTGTACTGCAACATCCTTAGTGTTTTTAGCACGCCATTATAAGCCTAAGAGAAGGGCTATCTTTTGCACTGTCTCCCAAATTTATTGAACCAGGTACACTTTTTCTGAAGAGCATTTTGTAAGCCTCAGAATACACAAAAGAGACATCCTGAAAAACACTTGATTTTACAATTGAGGATCCAGGAAATGAGCTTGTCAAGGACACGTACTGTAATAGCTAGTCTCTACAAGGTACCTCTTTTCCCCTGATGAACCACCGCTCCTGGTAATCACACCCTTGTGTAGTCCTCTCTCACATTGAATCCAGGCTGACAGAATGTGGCAGGAGTGACTGTGAGTCAGTTCCAGGCTTAAGCCTGATGACTTCAGAAGTCTGGCTATCTTGCCAGAAGAACACCATGGAGAGACCACATAAGGAAAGAGAGGATCTGGTACTCCATGCAAAGGACCAAGGAACCCAACCAATGGGAGAACCAAACCCCAAGGAGCTGATGCAATAGAGCCATTTCAGCCACCCATCATTACTCCATCCTAGCTGCAGTGGCAGCTGTGAGTGGGGAAGCCATCCTGGACGTTCCAGTCCTGGGGCTGAAATAAACAAGTCAAGGCCAAAACCAAACCCATGGAATGGTGACGCATAATAAAATGGTGGTGACTTTAAGCCACCAAGTTTGTTAGGCAGAAATAGGTAAATAAAAAATATATTAACTATTTTGGAAAAACATTGCAGAAACTTAATATATTGTGCCTGGACTATATTTGCAAATATGTGTCTGTTTCAGAAATGACCTATTTTTAGAGGAAATACATTAGATATTTATTTATAAATGCTTAATTTCACTGCCTACTACAATCATTTGCCTTCATTCACTTTTGAAAATAACCACTTTATCAAAAAAGTTAAAAATCAAATGAAGTTATACAATATTTAATCACAGAGAAGCCAATTGTGCGTATTTTTTGGAGTAAACAAAATTAAAATACTTTCCTACAATAAGGAACTAAGAAAAAATTGGATTGAACTTGAGACATGTATTTGTTTATAATAGGCAAATCTAATTTAAAAGCACATCTTCCTATTTAGGCTGCAACAAATATCAATAGCAATTAGGAAATTATAAATTTCTAACATAAAAACAAGGTCCTGATTTCAGTGAGGGAACATTATCCTGCTATTTACAAGCTTGGGGATACTAATTACTTACCCAACAGAAGATAACATGTTACACGCGGTTAAACACAGTCTCTTTCTTCCCCCTCCTCCTTCTTACCCGTTCGCTTCTGCCTAGCCTTGTCCTAATCTCTAATCCTTCTCTCCCTGGATGTCCACAATGCTAGGTAGGTCACAGGGGTCTGAGTTTTTGTGAGGTAGGGTTCTGAGAAACCCTTTCGTTCATTTCACACAAGCTAGTCAGGAGCCCAGATGTTGTGTTACCATGTTGTAATAGCAAAAATCTTCCACGTTTTAGGATTTGCTCCTTTCTGGGTTGAACAATCCCGCAGCATAAGATGCACAGGATCCTACATCACAGCTCTTTGCTCCTTACATAAAAGCTGTATTCCTGTTTAACTTTATTGGACACGATTTCCAGATATTCACATGGAAATTATTCCATTTAGATATTTTGGTCAATTAAAATCACTAAAGCAAGAGTCGTAGAATAAGAATTTAAATATTTCAGTAAATTTTTATTTTGGAATTATAGGAACACATTTCAAGATAATATGAAAAGACATACCAATAACATTATGTCTAATAAAACACAAAGTTAATGTTGTTACAGGAAAAGCTAGAAGAAAGGAAGGCATTGTGGAGCATCAAAGACAAAGCATCTGCTCTTCAGTGTGTCATCGTGCTTGCTGTGTTCTGGATATCCGTGTCCCCCCAAAAGTCGTATGTGGGATCCTAACTCCCAGAGGTGATGGTGTTAGGAGGTGGGGACTTTGGGAGATGATTAGGTCATGAGAGGAGAGCACTTATGAATGGGATCCGTGCACTTAAGAAACCCTGGAGAGCTCCCCAGCCCCTTCCACCATGTGAGGACACAGAGGGAAGGCACCGGCTGTGAACCAAAAAGAGGGCTCTGAGCAGATCTTGGCCATGCTGGCATCTTGATCTTAGACTTCACAGCCTTCAGAACTGTGAGATATAAAGAACCGTTGTTTACAGCCACCCTGTCTGTGGTATTTTGTTACAGCAGTCAGAACAGACTAAGACAGTGCTTCTGTCTATCGTTTCTGCAGGGCTCTCATTTACATAGAAGTTTGTAATTTATGCAGAAACGCAACTCAAGAGCTAGATTCTTGATGTATTCAGGTACAGTACCTTTAATGAAGCATTACCTCCAAAGTAAATTTAGATTTGAACTAGTGATAGTGATCTGTTTCCTTCAATACATCATTTGCTCTTTAGTATAGTAGGATCTGATTTATGGTTAGAAGACGAAGGACAGTTATAATTAGGCGCTGCAAGCTAAAAGATGAAGCCAAGTTAAGTAGGGTACTAACGTTACTTGATAGAGCTCATAAGTTCTTACAGGAGACAGAGATGCAGTTGTAATACCCCTCCATTAAATATGTGTTTACACCCTAGCATTTAACCTGGAATAGTCAGACGTAGGAAAGAAATTAAAAGGTCAAACCTGAGGAGAGTGAAGCCACACATGTTAAAAAGAAACAACATAAATGCAGTTCCCTACGCTGACCTCCAAACACTAAACAGCAAAATGATTCTGTTATATTCAAGAGTAAACCTGGATAAAGAAAAAACACAGAAAAATATGTTTTCTCTATCATCAAATCCTAAAAAGGTCGTTTTACCTAAAGAGAAAGAAACCACAATGAATACCACCTTTGATATATTTATTCCATTTTTCCTGAGTGTGTGTTTGTGTGTGTGGTATTTACACGCTTGTATAAAAAAACCAAGTTTTTTCAATTGGACATCAAGTTAGAGGTAATCTAAATGTTTGTTAAAGCAGAATTATTAGGGAAAAAACTACGCTTAGTAATTAACTATTTTATTAACCAATAAAATTTGCCAAGAGTCTTTTGGTTGCAAGTGACTGAAATCATTCAAGTGCATTTAATTGAAAGTGACTTTCCCGGCATGGAGAACTGAGAAGTCCAGATGCAGCCCGAGC